ATGTACTTGGTAAAATCCCAACTCAGGTCCCAAATATGTGCACTCAATAAAATGTATGATTGAATGAGTAACTGTTATCAGATTCAAAGTACAGCCGGATAAAAAAACATCTTTCCTTTTGGTGTCACTCTGCTTAAATGATGCTCAGCAGATTGAGAAGTTTTCAAAATTAAATATGAATACTCAGACATGACTCCTGGCTGCTCTAAATGTCTGTCACTCCGTCACTTAGAAAGATGATCTAACATGTACAGACTTTGTTGTCTCACTTCTTCTGCTTCCCGTTGAACGCTTCAGGCAATATTTTAAGAAATGAGAAGTACATTTTTTCCTTCTTGCATTATACGAGTCAAAACAGAGATGTTTGCACGGCCGACAGGGAAATGTGTACATCTGCTGCAAATCACACACGGTCAACGAGCATGAAATCATCCTGCAGAAATAATGAATACACCAATACGGGAAATGATATCATCGAGAAATTAGAGCTAGAGTATTGATGGACTACACCCATTGCAACACACACACACACACACACACACACACACACACACACACACACACACACACACACACACACACACACACACACACACACACACACACACACACACACACACAGCAATGGTCTGTAGGCGTAGAGCCACCACACATATCATCGTGTGCCAAAACTCAGCCAACGTTTTGAGCCCTAATGAAATTCTAAGCGTGAACACATTATGGCGGCGATATGCACAAACTGTGCTGCCAGCCGGTGCCAATGGGATGGTGCGTGGTTTCCATGGCGACGGAGACGATGCAGAGGCGAGAGAGACAGCGAATAGAAAAAAGCCATTGTTCACCAATAATAAACCGAAGCTGTAGACGGCATTAGTCTTTATGATTGGTAATCTTTCTTTTTTTTTGTCCTTCTGCACACTGCAATAAAAAAGGCTGGATAGTGGAGTCATGTGGGGGGGATGGTGGGGGTTGGCTTAATCAAAGATAATCTGCCGGCATGCAGATATGTGTCAGCAGGCCGGAGGAAGAGGAGGAGAAGGGCATGTATGTCCATGAGTTTCAGTGCAGAAACCATTAGTCTGCCAATCACCCATCTACCAGCTTAACGGTGCATGGGGGAAGGGAGTAAGGGAGGGACACCGGCATATCATCTGTATTAACACACACACACACACTGAAGGAGGAAGAGGAGGATTGCAAATGGCCACCGGAGAAAAAAGCCGACAGGAAATGACTGACAGTATTCTGGTCGGCTGTTGTCAAGTCAGGGCAGTTGGCTTTGGTCGTCTGAGCCTCGTTTACAGATGTGGGGCAAGCTGCCGACTCCACACTCCACCGGTGAAGCGAGAAGACATGTGTGTGTGTGTGTGAGTGTGAGTGTGAGTGTGAGTGTGAGTGTGAGTGTGAGTGTGAGTGTGAGTGTGAGTGTGAGTGTGTGTGGTGTGTGTGTGTGTGTGTGTGTGTGTGTGTGTGTGTGTGTGTGTGTGTGTGTGATGGGGGTGGAGGAGGAGGGTTAGCCCAAGGTTGTTTTAAGACGTCTGCACTAGATCTGCCAACCTCTTTTTGTTAAATATCCACCTGAGGTCAAGCTGACACAAGTCCCGCAGCATCCATGAAAAGTGACACAAACATCCCTAAGGGGGGGAGGGATGAAGAGCTAATTGGTCTTCTTCCTGTGAGGCGACAGCACCAACTACATGTTAATAAGTCAAATTTGGAAGGTATTAGGTTGATTTTTTAACCTTTGGATAATCAATGCTAGCTTTTTCCCCCTGCTTCCAATATTTATGCTAAGCTAATTCTCCAAAATCCAATTTACTTATAAGATTGCATCGACTGGGAAATGTCCAAACCAATATAACTGCAGAATAACGGAACATTTGCTGCTGCTTTTAGCATTTACAAAGTGGACGTTTTGTTAATAAACTGTTTTTTTTTACCTTGGCACCATGCTCGGCGTCTCCACCTGTTTCCATTCTTGCTAAGCTAACCTACTGGATGCAGCTTCATATTCAACCAACACCCAATTACGGCATCGATCATTTCTTCCACTTCTTGGATGTCAAACTTTGATTTAAGGGAGATCAGGCCAAATAATGTACACAATATTGCCACAGTTTGCATGTGGATTACACTACAAACTATGAAACTCTGCTTGAACTACAATTTTTTTTAACATGTCTATAAAACATTAGGTCGGTAAATGGGGAACAAATCCACTTGCTCCTTCAAAGGCAAAAAAAAAAACTAAAACTCGTGGCATTTGAAGGGAACACGAAAGTAATAGCTGATGATTGAAGGCACATAAACTGGTCAGTGTGCACAATCATTATTGGCTCAGATTATGCAACGTTCAATGATCTTGGATATGTTTCCCCCCCCCCTCATTTTCAATTTTTCTCGCTCCAAATAAAACACCCATAAAAAAACAACATCATATTAATGGGGGGCTTCACCTTGACATCACACTGCATGAATTGTACCCGGTGCAATGAAAGGAATCAACCAGATTATATTGGATTATAACGCCAGATTGATTTCATCCCGTGCACACTGCTGCATTATTAATCTGACAGTAATGTAGTTCGCCGTGTGCAATGAATCTCAGACAAAGAGACAGAGAGCGAAAGAAAGCCTCCATGTCTTTTTTTTATGTTTACTATGGTGGGTTTTTTCCCCCTCTGTGTATCAGAATGTCCATCCACATCCCTTCATGCATTATTCATATAGTCCCCCCAGCACTAATCCTCGCCTTTGTGTGGCTGTAGTGCCAGTGTGCCTCCAGGGAACTGCTTTATACTGCATCGGCTGGACGCTGTCACTGTCACACATCTCTGTAAATTCTCCTCCGACTGTGGCTTTAAATGTGACTGCAATAATCCATAGTGTTCATTTAGTGACCTGATTTTGCTGAAAAAAGCCTCAGTAGTGTGTTACCGGTGTTTCCTGTGGTGTGTGGAGTTAAATTGTAATTTTTAACCCGCCATGTTGTATAATTTTCCTGCATTGAGCTCATAGTAAACTCATTCTGTACTCATGTCTTCAGATATCTCTTTGGGGTCTCACAACAGTTGAATTAATTCCATTATATTCTGTCTTGCAGTGCGTCTATGGTGTCCAATGGGTATATATTGACCTCATTGTTACCCCCTCTTGTGTCTCTATAATATCCATAAGGGCTTAGATGTGTCTTTCTTTACTGTGACCTAATTTCAGTTTGTGTCTCCTGTGACAAATATTCCTGCAGGGACTGAGTATTTTATAGTGATTTCGCCCTGAAATGTGTCCACTATATCAATGCAAGATAGTTTTTTTAATCTTGTGATATAACTACAGTATCATATTAAGGCAATATTTGCTCTACTGTCCATCCAAAATGTGGATTATTCAAATTTTCTGAGGACAGATTCTCCAAAATCCAATTGAATACTCAGTTTGCATTGAGTGGGAGATTTAAAAACCAATATAAAGTGCAGAATAATGTCACATAATGTTACTATCCAATATCTATCAAGACCAGTTGAGTGTGCAGCGCCTGCTAACCCACAATCCGAGGCTCACTGACCTCCTTTCTGGCTGCCCTGTGGGAGTGTGTTTAGGTAACCTTGCTCCTCAGATGCTGCTGCAGCAATTTTGAAGCACATTTTTCGAAAAGTGGAAGGTTTTTTGTTTGCATGATTTGATTGCAGTGCACGGTGAAGGGCAGTTTCTTACCGTGGACAGGCAGCGGCATCAAGTGCAGAGCCAGGACGCAGAACAGCAGCGTTATTCTCCAGCATCCCGTGCAGAAGCTCCTCTCCTTCCCCTGCATCCTCACCGTGCAATGATATAATAGAGATGTGAGAAAAATAAAGCCGGAAAATCCCTGCTTTTATAGCGGTACTAGAGTTCAAAAATGTTGCAAAAAAGTAATCCGGGTGTGTTTTAATTTGTCTAGACTCCAGCCTCCCTGCGCTTCTCCTCCATAGCCGCTTGTTCTCAGCTGTCTCTGTGTCCGTCGCTATTTCTCACGCTCGGCTCAGTTAAGAGGTTGGTTACGGCTCCATTGCCACAGAAAGGCGGTCGGTGAGGAGGAGGAGGTGGTGGTGGTGGTGGTGGTTGGAGGCGGGGTGTGGGGGGTGCGTAAAGGGGGACGCACGCCGTGGTCCGGTTTGGCTTGTTTTGGCTCAGAACGGATCGGTGCTTTGGGCACTTTGTGGCTGGAACAAAACGCACGGCGGAGTGCAGCGCGCTCTGCAGCCTTCTCACCATCTGGGGAGGGGGAAAGATGGTTGTTGATGCCCCCCCTTCCTCCTCCTCCCCCCTTTTCCTATAAAACGCTTCCCTCCTCCTCCTTCTCCTACTCCATCCTTCCTATTTCCAAAAACTTTTCTTCGATCTTCTAAAAGTTAACATATATCCTCTTCCTAGTCATTTTTGTATTTTTTTCTCTTTTGTTTCGGATATTTCTCATCTTAACCCTCACTTATATTATGTTTTCCGATAGTTGTTGTCCTCTCTGAACTTCCTTGTCGTCTTTCCAATTTGTTTTCTTCCTTTTCTCTCACATCCACATCTTACTTCCATCCTATTAATTTCCCCCAAATGTCTTTCTCTTTTCTTACTTTTTCATATTTACAAAGCATCAATGTTTCTCCTCCCCAGACTTTTTCCAATAACTCCTTTTCACTTTAATTGTTTTTAAATATATATTTAATCGACACAGAATGTTGTCCTCTTTCCAAAACCTTAACAATGACATTTTACTTCCTTACACTTCCCTCCTTCCTTTCTTCTTCACTTCCACCTTTACCATTCCCTGGAAACATGTCTCCTCCTCTTCCTCTTTCTTCCCTCCTCCACCTGCTTCCAACTTCAACTTTTGGGACATTTTTCCGATCTATCTACTTCCTCTTTCACTGTCCCAAAACGTTTCCACCTCCTCCTACTCCTCCCTCTATCCCTTTATCTGCTATTCATCACAGTGTTGGATCTCAATAGGAGTAGCACTCTTCACTATT